GGTATAGTCTTAGACTTCCTTAGAGACAGACTGGACATAGCTCTTCATGTGCTAATTTGTTTTATATTTTGTCAGGATTCATGACATTTGTCTCATTGCCTTATCTCAGACCATACTTGTTTAAATTGATTCTTTACTGTTTACATAGAGGGCAGTTCCTCTGCCCATCAATAGAGAGAAGTAGGGAAATGGAGCAAGTTAAATACACATTACCTGTTGCACTATGAGAATACCAGTCCCTGTATATATTTGGCAGTTTAATTAAGACCATTTTGAATTCTGGATGTGTGTGTGTTTTGGCTGTGAGAATTTGAGTTTCAGTGAGGGGTGTGTGTGGGGGTAATGGCATAGCTGACTCAAGGGAGGCACAGCGTGAGCAGGTGCAGACTTCACACAACTCTCCTCATGCACCTCAAGCTAGGTGTGATACATCCCTGCATATTCCACTTCTGTTCCATTGGCTGAGTATAAGTCCAGTGTTCATATACATAACTCTTGACAATACAGGCAGGCTGCAATCTCCTGCAAAGCTGTTCTGACCATGTGTGCCCTCTTTCCCACCACCTTATTTCTGCTACTGGTGTGTGCCGATAACTTCCTCTTCAACCTGTGTTTAGATCCAGGTGCTTGTACTTGTTCTCTGTAAATACAAATAGAAAAGCAAACCACCCCAAAGAAGCCATCCTCCTCCTTTGCTGTCCTGAGAAAACAGCTGCACTCCTGTACCTTGTGTGCAAGCCCAAATCCCCACCTGCAGCTTTGCAGAGTGAAAGTAAAGGGTGATATAAGCTGACTAGCCTCTCTTGGCGAGAAGCCCAGAAATAGCAGCAAGGACATGCTGCCCTTTGGGAGATGAGCATTCCCTCTTAGTGCCACTGAGCTGCATTAACCAGCAGGATAAAGCAGGATATTCTGGTCAGAGTATTTCAGGCAAAAGGCATAGCCTGGCAGCCCAAGCTCCTCCCCCCCCCATCCCAGCACAACCTTCAGTCTGCTCTCCAGAAAGCAGTCAAGGTGCCTCCTGAGCAAACATATCCTATGCCTCTCTCATGTTTCCTGGTGTCTTTTCCACACCTAGTCACTTGCATGTGATTGGGTTCTGCCTAAATTCCTGGTTTACTCTTACCTTCTCCCTTTTGAAACTCCCTCCTTTCCCCTAACCCCTATGTAACAATTCTCCTACTGATTATCAACCTCTTCTTTAACTCTGAAAGCCGTTTTGGGGGCAATATTTATTTTCCAGTGAGCATAAACCCCATTTATTTTATTTTTCCTATCACTTAATCCTCCAGACCTGGTAGCATCTGCTTTGAAGATGTACAGCAGGGGTAGGCAACCTATGGCACGAGTGCGAAGGCGGCACGCGAACTGATTTTCAGTGGCATTCACACTGCTCGGGTCCTGGCCACCGGTCCGGGGGGCTCTGCATTTTAATTTAATTTTAAATGAAGCTTCTTAAACATGTTGAAACCTTATTTACTTTACATACAATAGTTTAGTTATATATTATAGACTTATAGAAAGAGACCTTCTAAAAAGGTTAAAAATGTATTACTGGCACGTGAAACCTTAAATTAGAGTGAATAAATGAAGACTTGGCACAGCACTTCTGAAAGGTTGCCGACCCCTGATGTACAGTGTAACTCTTTTCCTGTCAGTGCCAATTTTTAGCAATTAAAGGTGTCTGCGTTCTGGCTACCTTGGAGACCTCCTCTCTCCTTCTGTATCATACTTGCAGTAGAGAGCCACTTAGAGGCACTCTCTAAATTCAATTTCCAGTGTGAGGAGGGTCCTTGGATCTAGTATATGCTTCCTCTTTTGTACCAACAAAGCTTGTATTAACTCTGAGTGCATGTTTCAAGACCCAGCTGCTCAGTCTGGCCTTTTGTGACCATGTGTGTGAGATTTCTGTGGACTAGGGAATTCTATTTTAAACTGACTAGTCTAAATATGTGTCAGGTTGCTTTTAAATGCACCCATGCCAAGCCTTTAGAAAATCATAAAGCAGCTAGCTTTACGGAGGAGTTCTAGCAAGTGTTTTAAACAGTGTCACAATCATTCCACATTTCACCTTCTCTTGCATGTTCCTCTCGCATCACGCCATTTTATTGTAAAGGGCAAGTGGGTTTCTTGCTGGTGAAAAATGTCAAGTTAACCTGTGGGGATATGGGAGTCCTCTAGATATCACCAGAGCTGGTGCAGGACAGGCCTCAGCAACGTAAGCTTCCTCTATCTGCTGCCAGCCACACCAGGATGACTCAGTTCTGACCAGGACAAAATATTGATAGTGTGAACTGGAGAGGGGAATCATCTTAGTGTCCCATTTAAGCGTTGGTCTGTGAGACTATGATCAGGCCAATACCAGCTGATTCAGAAACAATTCTGGAATGACCTGCCCACAAGGGAAGCATTTTCCTACTCCGGGCAGTTAGTGGTTGGCTTATGCCTTGAAGCAGGAGTTTATATCCCTTCTATTCTAATAGAAGCTATTCATATAAATATCTAATCTTTATTTGAATCATACTAAATTCTTGGGCTAAGATCTCACAGCTACTTAGCCACCTACAGTCCATTGATTTCAGCAAGCAGTAACTGCCTAAAGAGCTTTGAGGATTTGGGCCTTGCCTCAATATGTAGCAGCTAATTCAGAGTTCCACAGGGTAAGTACGCATTATGTAAAAATAATTCCTTTTCAGCTTAAATGTGTTGCCTTTCACTTTGATTGCTCCTTGTCTCGTATTATAGGGGTGGGGGAGTGGAAGCACCTCTTAACTTTTCTATACCATTAATTACTCAGACTGATGTCTCATGTCCTCTCTGAACTAAGTAGTTCTAACTCCCATAGATTTTCAATGAGACAAAGTGCCTAAGTCAATTCTGAAAATGGGACGTTGGTGCTTTTGCAGGTATTACCATTAATCTTTTCAATTTCTCCACACCTGTAGTTATTTTCATCACCTCTCTCTCTACCCCTTCTCTTTCTGCTCTATCATTTTAGAGAAAAGGAGACAGAATTACCAAAGCTTAAGAGACAGTGTCCCCCTGTTTTATAAAATGGCATATTTTTTTAAACTATTCCTTATGCATCCTAATGTTGGTTGCTGCAGCTGCTGTTCAGTGAAGAGGCTTTTGCTGAGCTGTTTGGAGTCTTATTGCATAAAGCGGTGTTTGAGTCATTCACTGTACACTAGTGTGTCTGTCGGTCACTCTACCAGTTTGCTTTCCATTCATGTTGTATGAGGAGTGTCAGATACACCCTGGCTTTATGGACCTGATTCATAAGCTAGCCCAATACTAAACACCCAGGGACTGCTTTGCCCTGTAATTCCTCTGCCAGAAGAAGAACACTGCCAGACTCGCATGTTATTTACATATATATTAAAGCTGCTGCTGCCTTTCTCCTCCTTGTGGGTGGGAAAGTTATACAGCAGATGGCAACCCCCCAGGTTTAGCTATCTTTATTTTCTGCTGCAGCATGGTGCAGAGCTGGGACCACAGCCAGGAGTCCAGCCACCGTGAGCTCATCCAACCCAGTGGTCACCCCACAGCAGTAGGAAGCAATCAAGTGTGCGAGCACACAGCTAAAACAGAAGGGAATGCACTCTGACAGGATCAGCTGTTCCAGGCTGAAGAGTTTTAGGTTATATGTTAGGAACCTTTCCCTTCTGCTTCTGTCAGTGGAAGCCAAGGGGAAATAGGAGCTATTTAAAAGTAAAAGCACCTGGGCCACTCCTTGCACCCTAAACTCCTTTCTCTCTATTTCTTGTGGGGCACAGCTTTGCCTGTAGGTGATGGCTGAATGAAGCAACAAGCTCTTCTGATGCTGCTTTCTCAATACTCCACAATGGTCATGCCCTAGCATTTGCACATTTAATATATTGAAGTCTTCTGTGGTTCCACACTCCACTGTCCAAAATGCTGTTCCTTCAACTTATATGTAGTGACCAGTGGCCTGTAGGGATGGGGAAGAGGACTCACTGGCCTGCTCTGTCCAAGTGTCATGCATAGCTGGCCGATGCTCTTCCACTTGATGGACAAAAGCAAGCCTGAAGAGGCCTTCATACTTGTTGTGGGACTGAGATCAGTTAATACAGGCAGAAATGGCAGAGTTAGTTGGAATGTGTAAATACATGTTTAAATTGTTCTTAGCATGTCTCCTGGTTACAGGGCTAGCTGCACCTCTGTTCTCTTCCTGGTCTGAGTACATGCCCTTAGCTGTCAGGCCTCATGACTTCACCTCTCCTGGGGAGCAATTCCATAGTTCTCACACAGGCCGGGTCTCAGAGTGGATCACCTGTTCTTACCCAGCAGCTCCAACTGGATTCAGCTCCTATGGTTCTTTCCTTTTGGAGTCTGTGACCAGCAGCATGTACAGTGACCAAATAACCTTCTTAAAAACACTTTAAATTTTAACAGTAGGAACAAATAATTTAGAGGATTTCAAAAAACAGCTAACAGTCTCTATGCATATCACTTTCCATCTCCCCCTAGCAGCCTAAGGAAACCTAACTGCTTCAGCCTCCCCCATGGGTAGCTGGGTCAGTCTGGTGCCCCCACACGATCACCTCCTCTCTTGTAAGGAAGCCCTTTTTAAACTGCCAGACTTCTTGTACTTCATTCTCAGACTTGGGCCCCTCTGGACAAAACTAGTTTTGCAAGTTGGCTGAAAAGGAAATCTAAAGTCCTCAAAGATAAGGGACCATGCCCAAATGGTTAACAACCCTTAAGTGTTTGCTTTCTGAGGGGTAGAGGGCTGCCCAGGCCTAATGTTTAAGCCCCCTTGACCCAACCCTTCCTTCATAACCTGAAACAGTGCCACTGCCTCCGGCCTATAGTAGTTGTGTCCCATGGGGTAGCTCAGCCCTATGGAAGGGTGGCTTATTTCAAGTTGTTCTTTTAGTTCCTGCTTCTATTAAACCAATCTTCATACAGTAAACACCCCAATAACCATGTCAACATACATATTTGTAAGTTACAGAGCAGCTCTATTACTATCACAATAGGTCTGAGATGTTTATTTTAAACAAGCTGGCAAATTAAAAATGGCTCTAAACTTACTCGAGCCAGCTTCCTGAAACAAATTCAAAGTACAGTTAAAAAAAACAGGAAAAGCCACTCATTGCCATATACATTTCTTTCTGTTTCTGCACCAAGAACATGCACAAAAGGGAACTGGTCTTTGCACTGCTCTAGTCTGTCTGCAGAAAAGAGAAATGAGTAATTGAGAAATCCCCTCTCTATCCTCTTACACAACAAGTTCCAAGCAACATGTACAATAAGGAACACTAATGTCCAGGATTAACTGTATTTCATCACTACAGCTGCCTGTTTCAATAATATCTTCACTTCCCAAAACTTGCATTTCTGAGAAACCCTCCCTGACTCTCCATCTGGTCACTGTGTATTGCAGGCAAGTGGGTGACAGAACACACCAGTGAGGAAAGAGGAGCAACAGAAACAAATTTGGGGATTGCAATGAGACTAAAAGGAAGAGTGTATTCAGGACTGCTTGACATTTCAGCTCAGCCAGGCTATTTTACAAGGAGGCAATGATTCATGTAATTGATATTTGGGCTGGGGGGTTTTTTGGGGCACTCATTTTTACCCTTTGTTTTCAAGGGGAGAACAAGGGTCCTGCTTTCTGGAAATATAACAAGATGGCAATAAAGTAGTCACCAGCCTTCCAGAAATACATTGTACCCATAGGCTTAGCACAATGGATGAATGTCTCTGAAAAATCAACTTCCACACCTGCTGGCCAAACTACATGTTGCAACATCCAAAGCATTTAGCATTGTTTTTTGGGTAGGAGAGAACTGCCTCCCTTGATCCAGCATCACAACCACTAGCCAAAAGTTCTCAACAACAGTATGCTGCCTTCACCTTCACCAGCTGGTGTTTGCAAGGCAGGGAGTGGTGGATATTCTCAGGGGAAGTGACAGATAGCCACACCTAGCAAGTTTGGGACAGGGGACCTGATGTGGGTTAATACTAGGGCCAGCTGTACTATGCAGCAACACCACCCCTATGTGTTTAGTACCCTGACTTAATGGGCTTGAGTGTAAACTACCAGCTGTATAAGGAGATCTGGGGGAGGGAAGGCTGGGAGAAGTCCAATACAGAAGGGTTATTTCACTTCCACTCAGCAGTCTGAAGAAGGAAAGTAGAAAATACCCATATAGTAACATGGAGAACAGAGACCTTTCACACAGCCCTAAGTCAACCTAAAAAGAATTGTGCCTGAATTGCTTGAATGATCTGTTTCACCTCTGCCAATCCCACCCTACTGGAATAATCATTACACCACAGAGGTAAGTAAGTACACTCTTTGCCATAGTGACTACTGATCAAGCACCATAAGCATACATGGCATTACCCAAGGAGAAAAAAAAGTGAAGGTCCTTGCCTGATGGAGATCATAACCTAAACAGAGGTTTGAATAGTACTCACATCTCCTTTCTAGAGCATCCTTCCTTTTTCTGATAATTTGTTCCAGCTGCTCCACAATTCAGCTCTAAATCATCTCCTGTGCTTCCCCTAATGAGACATGCCATTTTAAGCTGTCTTTTCCAGATCAGATTGATAAAAGGATCCTGCCTCAGAGGAGCAGAGTTTGCATCTGGCTTGAATGAAGAGTCTGCTCTACTCCAAGAGAACATGAGTGAGGTGCTGGCTGGAAGTGGGCAGTAGAGGAAATATGATGCACCCTAACAACATGATCTCCCTGGATGCTTTTGCGTATACAGCATCACATCCCATCCTAGCGACTAACAAATTCCGTACAGATATGTAAAGTCTTGCAGTGGATGTGACATCCAAACATATGCTGGCAAGAGGCATAATCACACTCCCCTGGTCTCCCATCCCAAACACGAGGACAGGGTCAGTCCCATGCTCTGAACACTCAGTTTTGGAAAGCTCAGAGTTGCAAGACTTCTCATCACACTGCTCCAGCTCGCCCAAAGTATTCTCTCTCAAACTTCCGGAAGTCTTCCTCCGTGAAGACAGTGCCTTCAGATTTCTTCTTCGGCTTCTCTGGGGGACGGTCTCTAGATTTCCTGCCCCTATTCTGGTCGAGGACCTTTAAAAAATAGGAAGGAAAGATTATTACAGCCTTTGCTAACCCAGTCCCAGACACAGTATAAACTACCGTGCCAGTAATCCTCATCCCAACCTGCAGTAACCCCCTGCTATTCCAGTCCTGGCAATGCAGAGAATTAAGACAGATGTTTACTAGGGTTAACAAAAGCTTGTGTTTGGGGCAGCAGCAGATTCCACTTGGGTTTTTGGGACTAATGTCAAAGACAGTCTCAGCTCTGTTGCTGCTGAGGGCTTTGAAGCCAAAACCAACTGCTAGGGCTGAAAGCTCATCACAAATTTTGTTAAGAAGAATTGGTGATTTACAGCACCCCTTTCGGCTGCTTTGTTCTCGACCTTTTGGTTTTGACATGAGTCTATCTATTTGAAGACAAACAACAAAACATATTCCGAGGTGGGTGGGAAGTACTACCCAAGGTGCTGTGAACTGCTTCTAAGTTACTGGTGAACTGCCTGCAGCAGAACAGGTTTCCCTGCTGAACAGCCATTGTAGCGTGTAGGACAACTCAACAGGGAGAGGGAGAAGCATAGTCTAGTGGGCTACACACAGGACAGAGAAAGTTAATTCTGTGTTCTCAACCTGGCTCCAACACCAATGCCCTATGCAGCGTTGCAAAGCCTTAGTTTCTCTCCCTGGAACATGAGGATACCACCTCCCTCCCTTAGAGGAATTGTGTGACTAGTATATAGGACACTAAATATGCTGAGCTATTAAATAAACATCAACATAATACATGTTTGTACTTTTTTCAAACCTTTCATGGGAACAGCAGCTATAAAGGAAACAGGGGAAAACATTTCCTTTTTTCCCCAGTTTACTTTTTACACCTGACAGACTGTAGTCAGTTTCATTAGATTCCGTAGTTGTATGGGTCTTTAAAAATCAACATGGGAAAGAAACATTTTAAGTGATAGGAAAACAAAAAAATCCCACAAGGGGCACCACATGTAGCACCTAGAATTAACAACTTTTTTAAAATGGTCAACTTGACATATACTCATTGGTTCTATTAGAGCTATGGAGGACTGTAGACACACAATGAAATACAGGTCTGGGCAAGGATTGTGGGGAAAAAATGGGTCAGAGAGAGGGAAGAGAACTTTTAATGAAGAGAGTACAGTTATATGATGATATTAACATTGCCAGCTGCCCTGAATTCTATCATTAAGGGGAGAAAAACAAAAAACCCAGAATTCTTGACTCCACTTATATAACAGAAGATTCTACTGGATACCCCAAAATACACATTTTTCTGTACAATTAGTTTTGGGAAATAGGCCCTATAAAATCATCTTGCTGGATCATCCCAAAAATCCTAAGGCTGGCCCTGGGCATAGTCTTGTGATCATTATAGATCAGGGGTAGGCAACCTTTCAAAAGGGGTGTGCCGATTCTTCATTTATTCACTTTAATTTAAGGTTTTGCGTGCCGGTAATACATGTTAACGTTTTTTAGAAGGTCTCGCTCTATAAGTCTGGGGTGTGTGGAGGTGCAGGGCAGAGGGTGTGTGTGGAGGTGCAGGACAGAGGGCTGGAGTGTTCGGCTCGTGGGGGTGCTCCCAGCCCCCTGCCCTGAGCAGCTCATGGCAGAGGGCTGGGAGGGATATGCCCTGTTCCACCCCCTTCCCCAAGGCGCGTCCCTACCTCTCTCTGCCTCCTCTATGGAGTAGGGAACACGCTGCTGCTCGGCTCTGCTCCACTACCCCTCCCCCTCGCAAGGGCCATCGCTGGCAGGGAAAGGGAGGGGAAGGAAGAGGGGCCAGAATGCACTACGCTGGTGGAAGAAGCGGGGGAGGGGGGAAGCTTGGCTGCCGCAGGACCAAACTTCTGCCTCCTGCCCCTGCAGGAGAGAGCGGTGGGTGGGGGGGCTGAGTGGAGCGGGAGGCTGGGACCTTCCCCCACTGCTCTCCCTGCAGGGGCAGGAGACAGAAGCTTGGTCCTGTGGCAGCCAAGCTTTCCTCCTCCTCCTTCCCCCCCTCTTCTTCCCCCAGTGTGGCGCTTTCCGGCCCCTCCACTTCCTCCTCTCACTGGGCAGGCAGCGTGCCACTCAAAATCGGCTCGCATGCCGTGTTTGGCACGCGTGCCGTAGGTTGCCGACCCTTGTTATAGATCATGTTGGGATCTGGGGGTGGTGGTGCAGTAAGTTATTTTGTAAACACACCTAAAAATTCCAAGGCCAACATTAGCTACCACCCAAACTCATTTTTAGCATTGACCTGTGCCAGGGGTGTTAACCAGTCGCCAAGGCGAAGGACCTGTGGAAGCCACTTCCTCTTTAGTGGTATTCTAGGGAACAAAAACAAGACTCCCTTGCCTGCTGCGTGATGGTTTTGTCTGCAGTGAATCGGCCCTTCGTCATGTACTGCAAGTTCTTCTTCAAGTGATCCACAGCCTGGTGCTTCCGATATTCCTCTGGGACAGGGCAGAGAGCAACAAACCATCTCTGTAAGCGTGTATTGTATAACAACTAGATGAAGAGTACAGAGAGCCAGGTGGGAGTATCCCAACTAGGCCAGGGTATGACACTATTGCTGGAGTGTGTGTCCGGGTGCACCAAAACTTTGTTTTAGGAGTCATGGGGACCGGATATCCAGCAGGAGAAGTGCAAGGGAATGGTGATATGATTGTGATCAGGGCCCATGTGGTGCAGCCAGGCACAAAGAGGTTCCTATGCAGCCCTGGTCACGAGCAGGCTGGGCTAGGAGGTAGGGTTACCTGCATGCAACCGGCTGCTCCACCCACAAAGCTAGCAGCCCCGAGAGAGCTATCCTACTCAAGATGGACTAGGATGATAGCGCTCCCCCCCTTCTCCGCAAGGCCCTGGGGGCGGGTTGTTTTCAGAACAGCTGGTTCTCCTCGAGTGAGAACCAAGTTTCTGTGCGCAGCCCCCTCCCACCAGCAAAGCAGCATGGGGTAGTGGCAGGGAGGGTCTCAGTCACCTATCGCCGACTTGGTGACTTTGCCCTTGACCGTGGTCTTGTCCCTGCCAGGACCCCGAGCCGCCTTCTTCCTCTTCAGGGGTTTGCGCGGCCGCTGCTGGGGGCTGCTGAGCCCGGGCTGGTGTCCTGGGGGGAGGAGAGAGAAAGTTAATGTGATCGCGCAGGGGAAGGATCTGAGCCCCCCTCAGGCCTCTCCTCCCCCGGCCCCCCCGCTTACCCGCCGCCGTCTCCAGCAGCTCCAGCCCCTTTCTCAGCAGCGAAGCCGACATACTCCCTACTCTACCCACGTGGAGCCGGCTTCCGCTTCCTCCTTCAGCCCTGCCACACTTCCGGTCCTCCGCCGGTAGCCCTGCCACACTTCCGGTACATACGCTCGGGGAAAGTCACTGGGTTTCCCCGTTCCGCACATGCGCAGAGGGCGCTCTGGGGTCTCTCGTGGCTGATGGGAAGCTCTCGGGGTGGTTCTGTGGAGGCAGAGAGCGCGGGGCAGCGGCTGCCCCCCGGCCCCCAGCAGCGTGAGGGGAGGCCCAAGGGCAGGAAACCCCGCTCCCCCCACCGAGATGCCAGCCTGGGTTCTTCCCCTACAGGTGCCAGCTTGGGGGGGCAGCCTGCTGCACGCAGGTGACCCTGCCTCCTCCCCCTGCCTGCCCGGGACCGGGCTCCCTGGGAACCTCTGCGCCTGGCTGCATCTTGTGCGCCCCGATCTGAGTCATAGCAGCCTTACCTGGTGCTTCTCCTGCGGGCCTGCTGCAGAGCTCTGTCTGTCTCACTCACCTGCAGAAGTTGGGCCCATAAAAGATATTCCCTCACCCACCTTGTCTCTCTAGTACCCCCCCCCCCCCGATCTCATACTGGGATTGCAAACTCTTCAGGGTAGGGGCTGTTTCTTATTTCTTTGTATATAGCCAACACAATGGGGCTAGGGGCCTGTAGGTGTTGCCCAGGGCTGGCTCTAGGTTTTTGGCTGCCCTCCACCCCAGCCCTGGGCTCTCACCCCCCCGTGCCCTCCCCCACCCCCTGCCACCCCAGTCCTGGGCTCTCTCTTCCCCACCCGCACCCTGGCTCTAGGTTTTTGCTGCCCGAAGCAAAAAAAAAAAAAATGTCTGGAATGCCGCCCCAAGCACGTGCTTGGTTTGTTGGTGCCTAGAGCCGGCCCTGGTGCTGCCATGGGGGAAATAATAAGTATAATGAAAATAATACCCTGGTATCATGATTTTCCAGACCAAGCCCCAAAACAACTGGGTCAAATCCCAGTCTGACTCCTGAGGCACAGAATTTAACCTTTCCAAAAATTATATTTATTATTCATTAGTATTTTACTTATTTTATATAACACCCCCGACAGAGACGATGTTATTGTCTTCTAAATTTTGTCATCATTTTAATAGGTGGTCACAAAATTATTTGATTTTTAGCCAGTGCTGGTAGCAACAAGATGCCATGAGAGAAGAAGGGGAGGGGTTTATGCTCCCTTGACAAGTATGCTCTTAAGGCCCTAAGGGGGGAAAAAAGATATATCAGAAGTTTGCTTCCATTATTTTTCATGGCAAAAATATTTTACCGACAAAAGTGCTGGTGTAGACAAAGCCTCAGTGAGCAATGCAAAGCACTTCCACTTTTCTTCTCTTAACCACCAGGGGCTGAGAGCATTGTTCCCACTGCTATGGGCTTGTGTAATGAGCATTCAGGAGTCAGCCTGGCTGAAAAGAAGGCACAGCCCTTTAGTTATACTTCTAGAACTTTTTAGTACATAATGGGCATGCTGAGAGGCTTCCCATTAGCACAGTCAGCCCCATGTGAGATCTATCTTTACATCCCCCTAAAACAACATGGAAGTAAGTTATCAGCATAATCAATAGATGTAACATTTTCCAAAGTCCTGTCATTAATTCATTATAGTGTATTTCAGTCTTGTTAGTAACTGGGAGATTTTCTCCAGGCATGACTGTTAAAGTTCCTCTTGACTATGTTCTGACTTCCCTTCATAGGTGCCTGGACTTGTCAGCCTTAGCAATGCTGGTGTCTGTAATGATTCTACAATGGTTGCTGTCATGCTTCTGCAGTCACTGACACAGATTTTCTCATGACCTTTTCTGTTCCTTGAGGAATCAAGTTTTTGTCTATTTTCCCAAATGCCAAGCAATATAATTTTTTCAGCAGTTCCCTTAAAAGTGTATTGATCATCTGTACATTTTAAATTCATTTTGCTAGTTTATCATCCCCTTAGATTACTGTTCATTCATAGGGTACATCTGCACTGCAATAAAAGGTCTGCAGCACAGCTGCAGCTGGCCAAGATCAGCTGACTTAGGGTCGCAGGGTTTGGACTGATGAGCTAAAAATTGCACTGTAGACATTTAGGCTTGGGCTGGAGCCCAGGCTCTGAAGCCCTGTTAAGAAGTTGAGTGTTAGAACCTGGGCTCCAGCCCAAGCCCCGAACGTCTGCACTGCAATTTTTAGCTCCGCAGCCCAAACCCCATGAGCCCAAGTCAACTGACCCTGACGCTAAGACTCAGTGCCACTGTTTGTTATTGCAGTGTGGATGTATCCATAGATTCATAGATTTTAAGACCACAAGGGACCTTTAGATCATCTAGTTTGATCACAGGCCATAGAATTTCACCCATTTACCCCAGTATTGAGCCCAATAATTTGCGTTTGACTAAAATGTATCTTCCAGAAAGGAATCCAGTTTTGATCTGAGGACATCAAAAGATGGAGAATCCACCACTGCCTTGGGAGTATGTTCCGATGATTACTCGCCCTCACTGACAAAAATGTGTGCCTTAGTTCTCTGTGGAGTGTGTATTGGAACTGTTATTTTGTTTTATCCGAATCAGCAGTTAAGCCACCTTTGCTCAATTTAGGTCCTACATAGCTTCTGTTGGACCAGGAGTTTACTTTTTAAAGTTTGGTGTTAGGGCTCTTTGACATGGTATTTGCAAAAATTGCTCAGTATTTAATTATGGTCTTTACGTTCCCCAGCTCATATTAAAATTTCATCCAGTATAATTCAGCATTTTGTCAACCCTTCAAAAATCTGTGCAATTGCTTTTTAAAATGCTTCTGGGGTGGAATGAAAACAGATTGGTACTCATTAAAATGTACAACTTCCAAATAAGTCACTAGCTTATAGCTTGACTCATCTAACTTTACTGCAAAAATGCATGTCCTGCATCTCATACTGAGACTATCTTTTCTCCTGAGAGGTTTGCTGTCCATCCGCAGCTTTCATCAGCTAATATTCACATTTTATGGTTTGATTTAAATCATATAACTCAACGCACATCCATATTTTATTTGGCTTTTTCAATTGCAAGGTTGGAATTGTCCCACCCTACAGGTTGATCTAACTTTCAAATAACTCACAGCTTTTCCATATTATCAGGTTAATTTTCTGCTTCACTTCTTAGGGCAAATGGAAAGTTTTCTTCCTGGATGGATTGCTGAAGTTTCAGATTTGTCTATCTTAATGTGGTACTCTCCATCCAGTTAATATAGGTCTTGGAAGGCATTTGAGAATTTTCCTGTTAGGCTGCCTGTTCCCTCTATGTGATTCTTTTCCATTTACAGTAAGCATCTTTTTAGTAACTTTCAGCCTACACAGGTTTTTAATCTTATAGCAGGGGGTCAGTGTTGCTAACTCCCATAATTTTATAGCAGGTCTCATGATATTTTGGTGTTTTTCTGAAAGCCCCAGCTCCTGGAGATAGGTGATTACATGAGAATCTCAGCTTTCATTCTGTAAAAAAAGTCCGTCTCTAGCCCTCATGGTTGTGGAGAAAAGCAGATGTGGTCCAAGTGAAAAAACAAAGACAAATGAAAAGACCCTGCAATTTATTATTTTTTTAAATTAATTGTTTAAAGCCAATCGTATGATGTTTTGAAGGCCTGACTCATGAATTTTGAATACGTGGGGTTGGCAGTACTGGTGGGTATATCTACATTTGTTCTTTGGAAAGTGAGAGATATGGATGTTTAAATCAATATGTAATAGTTACTTACCCTTGCACTGGTACATTATGTGCAGAATATGAAATATGCTTTGCTTTAAATAGAAGGACCATTTCATTAATTACAATATTACGCTGTTCCATTGGAATAACATCACTTTATGAGCCTACAGCCAACTCTGCCCTTATTAATATTTAGGTGTATTTGCCAACCTGAAGCAGTTTGTGCTGAAGTCACTCTACCTCCAAAGAGCTATGGATCACTGCGTTGCTGTTCTCCAAGCGTACAGGCATTCTGGCCTTTTAACTGTGTGACATGTCTTTGAAAAATGAGCTTTCCTCCCCTGAATATGAACAAATGCCAGCCAATTCTTCGGTTCGTGTTTGTGAACACGTCTAGTGCAGAGGTAGTTCTGCTGGTCAGAAACCTTTTATTCTGGTTTGGATTATTTTGTTTTACTTCATTTCTATTTTCAAAGTCATACCACCTGCACTAGGTGCTATCCATTCTGTACCAAGCCACTGAGTCTGCATGTCACTAATGTCATTGCTTCTACAAATCTCTATGGCTCACGTTAAGATTAAATCAGCTTCTTATTGTGCCGGGTGCTGTACAGACATGTAATAAGAGACAGTCCCTGCCCTGAAGAGCATGCAGTCTGAATAGAGTAAGGGAGTATTTTTATCCCCATTTGAGGAGGCACAGAGATTAAGTGACTCATCCAGGATGTTGGTGACAGAGTTAGGAACAGAATCCAGTGCTCCTGAGTTCAAGGCCAGTGCCGTAAACCACACGATTATTCTAAGTGCTGGGGTGTTGGTAGGAACTGGGAGCACAGAAAGGTCCTGCATAATTACACCAGAGCTAAGTGCTGTGTCAGTAATAACCAAGAAGTGATACAGAGTCACCACTACTTCCAAGTGTAATGGAACCTCTAGATTTCACTCTGAAAGTGCCTTTCAGAGCATCTCAACTCTGAACTTCAGAAACACTTATCGATATTGAAAAACCAAGGAGGCCTAACTTTTTTCACTTTAGTGGGTAACAGGGCAGACTGCTTGAACCTTGCTGAGTTGGTTATTCTGCCTCCTAGTCATCTGGATCTCTGTTAACACCCTGAACTTCTTTTCTTTGGGTGAAATCCTGACCCCATTGAAGTCAATGGGAGTTTAGCCATTGACTTCAGTGGGATCAGGATTTTACCCTTTGACTTCTAGGCCTTGGCCTTTTTTCTTCTCTGGATTTCAGACTGTCCTTTCTCCTTTTCTTCCCTTTGGCTTTAGGCTTGTCCTTCCCCTTTCGACTAGTCTCTTTGGGTTTAGATTTGACCCTTTTCCTTCTACTCATCTGTGACTTTTGACTTAACCTTCTCCTTCTTTCCTTTATTTTGTTTGACTTTATTTCCCTGGCTTTCCACATT